CCACAGCAAACTGTCAATGCAAAGATCTATAGTCAGCAACTGGAACGTTTAAATCAAGCCCTTAATCAGAAACGCCCTTCACTCGTCAATTGCAACGGTGTTCTTCTTCTCCACGACAATGGCACATTTGACGCAACACAAGATTATGGGCTTGGGTTAGGAAGTTCTCACCCAACCACCATATTCTACAGATATGACACCATCAGATTACCATCTTTTTCGCTCACTGCAATACCATCTTAATAGGAAAACGTATGCAAATGTGGAAGGTGTTAAAGAGGACATCTACATGTTTTGTGCTTCAAAGCCAAGTGATTTCTTTAATCGGGGCATTAACAACCTGATTGTAAAATGGAAAAGCAGCATCAATAAGATTGGAGACTATTTCATTTAATAAATGTTTTGTTTTGAGGTATAAGTTGTTCAGGTTTTTCGTCTAAAAAAAGTGACATTAATTTCTGGACGACCTAATATAATTACATCTGCCTATTTTTTTACATCCATTTAGATAGTAAGATGCATGCACGTTTTCAGGACAGACAAAAACTGAGAATTATTATAATAGAAGATAAAGTCATCAAACATATCACTGACATGAAGTATATAATGTTATTAATCAAAACTTAAAAAAAAACAAAGCCTATATATTAATTAAAATGAATTGATTTATAACAAACTTTCAGGATTAAGCCTAATAATATCTCGTGAGGTTCAATAACCCTAGTATATTTAGTTTAGTCCTAAGTCCAGTGCAAAATGATGTTATATGTAAAAATTCATGATGATAATAACAATAATGACACTGTTCAAAACCATTATGTTTAGTCTTTCAAACTTAGCATTGTATCTAATGCAATCCAAAGTTTTATGTTATTAACTTCTACCATCAAACTTGCTTTAGTAATAAAATACATTTTAATATATTTAAGTGTCAATCAGAATTTTATGCTTCTAGCAATTTATATTAAGAAGTTAATAATAATATTATTGTACTAATGCAAAAACTTTATTTAGTTTTGCTTACTTCATCTCCTCAACTGTGCAAAACAGAAACTTTGTAGGAGTGGTATTAGCAAAGACAATTAGTTTAACTGAAAAAACAGTAGGAATGGATAATATCCTTATTAGTACAGTGTACAAAGGTGCATAATAACAGGAGCCAATGCTTATAAAATAGTGTCACCCTGCTTCTACCTTCGAGTTGTAATATCATGAAAACAAGTTGACATTGAAAGACAAGATAAAAAAAATAGTTCACAATCATTATTTTTGTGGTTAAGAAGTTTAAAATGCAACCAATAACTAACTTAACACTCTCAATAAGGGTTCAGTCAATTTGATCGACCACATGACCATTTTGTACTTGTTTAAAGTCTTTATACAATTAATACTTATTACTCTCAATATAGTGGGTATTTCTTCATGAAATTTGGCAGTTTTTCAGTTAATATTACAAGTCTTTCACATACAAAAAGTCATATTTGTTAGTGAAGTTTTATAATAAAATAAAATAAAGATTTGTCCATGAATATATTGAGTACTTGTTTTCAATAGTCTGCGTGCAAAGTAATTTTCATGTTAAAATTAAAAATACTTTTCCTCATCTCAAAAATCTCGTATTTCCTTTGTGTAATCCCTAAAACCTCCTAAAGGCATTTCAAACGTTTATTCTTAGTAAAACTTTATAGTTTATCTATTATTTTCTCTAACCTATCTCAAAACAGGATCGGTCAATTCAACCAACCTCATAACCACCAAAATAATAATCGAAATAAACCTAAATAAACTTTTCTTTCTTTCTAGAATGACTTCAAATTGTAACACGAAACTACATTCGTTTATCCTAAGTAGCTCTAAGTTCTTACATTATACATTTGAACCATGTCTAACTACTATCTGCGTCATTATAAGTTGAAAATCACTTGGAGAACGTGCAGCTCACGTTACGCTATCGAATTACATTACCCACAAGCTGCTCGCATGCGTGCCTTGTGAACCCTTTTAATTATATCATTATTATTATTATTTTACCTAATCTAACCTTAAATAACTAAAATATCTGTATCTTTAGATTTTAGTTACTTTTACAATAATAAATAAAAAATAAATATGACAAACAAGAAATAAAGTACTTACCTAATCTTTTTTTTTTTGCTGTCTGGTTTTGACGAGAGTTAAGCCTAATCTTTTATAATAATGATAGTAATGCATTTAATAATTTTTATTTAATTAAATAATGCACCAAAGAATACAGACTAATAACATGCAAAAAATAGACAAATTCCCTTATCTCTCAAAATTTTTCTGGCTATCTAACTATGCAACAAGAGCCATTACAAATTCATCTAAGCTAGTCGTTAACTTTCCCGTGGGAACAAACCTTGTACTGTGAGTGAAACTGACGATATTCTGTACAGAACACAACATTATGTAATACATCATTTAATCGATGAAAACCTTAAATTTCTATTAATTATAGGTAATACATAATGAAACGTAAGAGAGAATTATCAATGAACTGTGAAAGAGAGGATGTGACAGGTGGGTGTGGCAGGAAGGATCTGATTTTCTATTCGATAGCTCTGTAACCAAACAAAATTGAAGGCTATAAAAATTATGGTTTGTTTGAGCAATAACAATTTTATAAGAGAGTATTTTACGTTTAATTTCCTACATTTTCGAGGGTGATGGATAAAATAGGGATGATGACATGCTAAGACAAAATGTGTCGCATGTGTCTCACTAGTGGAAATTCAGATTTTTTTTTATATTCCCTTGAAGAATAAAGGACTTAAAACTTGTATACTATTGAAATATGGATTATTAGCTAAGATTTTATGTTATTCTAATGGGTATAACATAAACAAAAAGTAGTATAATAAAATTTTGAATGTGAGACACTAAAACCTTGTGTCATGTGCAGTGAAGGATACCTAAGGCAGTAGAGTTAAAACAAGTAAGTAGCAACACAGTAGTTAATTTATATGAATAACTATTTAAACAGCCTATTACAGAATATTTTTATTTATTTATTAAACATTTATGATAAGTAGCTAAGGGCTTTTCTGGGCAAGTTGAAAAACATGTCTTATTACCATCTTATACTAAACTCATGACACGTAGTTTTATCATTAAAGAGCTTTCTACAAGTTATAACTATCAGGAAGTTTAAAACTTCAAACTCTTAAATTTCCACAATACCATTCCAGTATGTCTGCTGTTCTTACAGAAATGTGTGGGCTTTGTGTGCAACTTCCTGCTAAATTGAATGCTAACCCTTTTATGTGCAAATGCCTTTACTGTATAATTTCTTCCCACATGTACTGTACATCTTATAACAACTTTTATCAATACAGCTCAAACATGTTTTATGTCATTTTTAAAACCAACCTTGCAAATCCTTGTGGTAACTCTCCCAGTCCATAAAGAGGATAGAGATATGGGCTTTTTCCATATCGAGCTAAGGAATCACTGTACAGCTTGATTCTTTCAATAATCTCTAAACAAGGTTTGTTCAGGTACCTTAGAAAAGTAGAAACAAAATAAATAAATATACTCATGTTAAAAGACGATAACATCAATTTGTTAAAATAATATAGCATTATAAATATTCAAGGTACAATTAAAGTTTATTAAAGAGTCAGAATAGAAACAATCTTACAAAAGTTTAACATCACAATGTTTATTAGTTATAAATATAAATGGTATAACAAACTGAACACTTACTCATCATCCCTATGTAATGCAAGTGCATGGCCTGTGAAATCAGCAGTATCTTTATCTAAACCAAACTTTTCATATAACTGTGCTGCAGTCATTTGTTTAGGGTCAACATCTTTCCAAGTCTTAGGATCTTCCAAGATGAAGTCCTGGATAAAGACTAGGAAGTTACGAAACCTCCTCTTCTCAAACATTCCCATCAAACCTGAAAATAGAGACCATATTGTGGTTAAAATCATACTATATCATGGTATTTGTGATTAAAATCAAAATCATACTATATCATGGTATTTGTGATTAAAATCAAAATCATACTATATCATGGTATTTGTGATTAAAATCAAAATCATACTATATCATGGTATTTGTGATTAAAATCAAAATCATACTATATCATGGTATTTGTGATTAAAATCAAAATCATACTATATCATGGTATTTGTGATTAAAATCAAAATCATACTATATCATGGTATTTGTGATTAAAATCAAAATCATACTATATCATGGTATTTGTGATTAAAATCATACTATATCATGGTATTTCTTGAAATTTTGCAGTATGTAACATCACATAACTGTTTTAGCTCGTGGTAAACTTTTTTGTCAACAAAAATTACATTACTCTAACAAACAGCCAAATGTCTTGATGATATTAATAAATCAAGTTAGTCTTGCCATCTCTACATGTCTAACATATTTTACACCATCACAGCATAAACACAGACTTGTTAACTACATATTCTATCTCGTGATTTGCTAATTTTGTTATTGATCTTTGTCTACCAAAACATAGTTACATTCTCACATTCTGCAAACTTTATACCCTAAAATTTTATCAATTGTAATCTTCGTTCTTTAAAAATTCTAAGTTTGAGTAAAAATAACCTATTTTTGTTAAAAACTCTGTTATTTTTATTTCTGGCATAGAATATTTTATTTCAAAAAAACTACACATATAAAAAGAACTGCATTCCTTATATAAAAACTACAATATCCAAACATTTCCATTTACATATTACCCTATATGAACAGCATCACCATAAGGGAATATACCTGAAATGTTATACATTAAAATTAATTATCAAAATGATACTTACAGTAAGCACCTTTAACAGTATAGTGGTATAGAAAATGTTTAAATGTAACTTATATCTAAAATATAAAAATTAGCAAAATGTATTTCACAAATTATTTAAATAGCACAGGTTATGAATGTTTTCAAACAAATGTGGTATAACAAAGTAAAGCATATGTATAAAGAAAAATGTGTTAAACCTGACACTATTCTTTTCCCAACAGCAACTTTACATGTATTTTGCATAATTGCATATTAAATACAAGAAAACTGAAAAACTTTTCATTCCTTACCTGAAGCTAAAGCTTCCTTTTCATCTGCAGGAACCTTAGAAATCTTTCCGCCTTTGTATACATAGCTACCTTCTATAGACTTGAACTCTAAGTATCGGGTCACACCAGTATGAATGAGTAACTTCACCAGTTGGCCTAGAGAAATAAATTCAGAAAAAACACAACAATATGCTTCAAACATAAATACTTTCAGAAACAAAGATCACACAATTATCTTGCACATTTAAACTGTGCTAAATGTATATAATAGTGGTATTACATAAATGTATCACATGTACTTTCCTATTAAAATCCTTCAAGTTTTTCCCATTTTGAAGTAAACATGTACATTTTAAATTCACTACAAATCAAAACATACGGTAGCATATCGTGCAGCCAAAACAACCTGCTGCAGGATACACTGTGTGTTATTAACAGGAGTGATAGTTTAGCAATTTTCCACTTTCTGTACCTCAGACTATGGTAATCCAAACTATCATATATTTTCAGTGGATGTGCATTACTAGGCTCTTAATTCACATACCAAATTTTAAGGTAATCCATTACAAATTACCTGAGACATAACATCTCCAATTCTGAGAGAGCTTCTTTTTTTCTTCACAGAAAATTTATTTGGTAGGAAAAACATACTTAACTTTTATGGATTTTTTTTCTAATTTGGTACACTGATAGATCTTTTCAACCTCCAATAACAAGTCTCATTTCGTGTAAATATAAGCCGTGCAAAGTTATTCAACAAAAACCACTCAAATTTGAAAAAAAAATTTTTCACACCTATGCAAAAAGTCAAGTGAGCTATCTAACATTTTTACTACAGCTTCAACTGAGAGTAAAAGTGGAGCAGTGTCAGTTTTTGTCACTCTGATTAAAGATGGCTGATTTAGGGCAGCAAAACTATAATGTGAAATGACGTGCAAATACATAAGTATTGGTTAGGCCAAGCAAACAGCATAAGCAGTTTCTAGTTCAAGATTTCAAAAGAATCATATGGGTTGACAGTTATTATTAATTATTCATTGCAAACTTTCAAGTGCAAATTTACTAAATTTTGTGAAGTTATCCTAATTAAATAGTGTTTAGCATCATGTGATATTAGCTTAAGCAATTAGCATAAATAATTATGCTTGATATGGTGTACTGAGTCAAGGTTCTCATCCATCAAATGATGTATTGTATAATGTTGTATTCAGAACAGAATATCGTCAATTTCACTCACGGTACAAGATTTGTTCCCGTGGAAAGTTAACAACTAGCTTGGATGAATTTGTAACAGCTCTTGTCTCATAGTTAGAAAGCCAGGAAAATTTCATCAGAGTACAAGAAATTACAAGTTGTTTTGTTTACAGGCAAAACTCTGCAACTGTGCAGAAATGAAAATATGAACTATTTTTCATGAAACACACTAAATAAATGTTAGAAAATGTAAAATACCAACCAATTCTATACTATTCTTAAAATAAAAGTATTGATAGATGATTAAAATTAACATATAAAACTGACTTTGTGTCTTAACAAATTGTCACCTGTTGCAACAATAATGTATTAACTTTTCAAGACTTGTTATTCCAGACAATCTTATATTAACAAGTTTTAATCAATATTAAGGTCTTAAGTGTTGTATTAATATATAAATATTGCAGTTACTCAAAAGCTTTGTAACCAACCAAGGGAAATGAATAATGAAAACTCATTTTATTCATTACTAAAATGCATACTTAGTATTACTGGATATTCTTCAAGTAGCTTTAGTTTAAAGTCAAATAACATAAAAATTAGAATATATAAAATTATTTTGTAAAATAAAACTTAGGATAGTTATAACTTTATGTTACAAAGTTTGAAAACCATTAGGGAATGAATAAGAATAAAACTAGATAGTCTATTCAGATAATATAGTATTATCAAGACATATGCTAGTGTGTCGTGTGACCAAAAAAAAAGAAAAGAAAAGAACCAAACCTCACATTACCCAGTGTGTTACAACAGGAATGAAAACTTTGGGTTCTTTAACCATCCATATAACCACCCCCCATTAATCAAAACTCTCCTATTTTTTGTATGGTAGGTCTCCCATGTCTCCTTACCTTGCATACCAAATTTAAAAGAAATCACTGTAACCCTTATCATTTTACATCAGGCCAAACTTAGCCTGAAATTGATTTTATGCTTTTTATGCTTCTTCACACCAGTGAAAAAAAAAAATCCCCTTAATCAATCTGAGTATCAAGTTTATGTCCTTTGTGGTTATTTTTACCTAATGTACAACAAAAAAAGAGCAATATCTAATCAAAAATAGCATAGCTATAAAAAAGGTATGGCTAAAAAAATATCAAAATAAAAAGAATTGTGACAGAAAGATGTGAAATCAAAGTTTGCGGCCAAAATGAGAAAATATGGATGATTAATATTTTATGCAAACTACTGTGACTAAGCATTCAAAATTTTACCAAATGACACTTGTACAAAATAGTGCCTACAAGTTTCTGATAGGTATTAAAAAATGCATCTGACAGTAATATGACTTTACAAATACAAAATAGCTATTTTTTTAATCCATTATCTACTGCTTATAATTAACATTTTTGTATAAATACAAAGCAATACAATATCATTAGCATACCTTATAATCTGCTTTCTTGATTTATATTCTTAGTCTAAGCAAGAGGAAATCCTCAATAGCTACGCACTTGAAAATCTTTTAGGCAGATTTAGAGTAAATTAATCTAGGAGACTTTTTTTTTCCTTTTTATTAACTATATTTTTGTGCACCAGCAATACCAAGCATGGGGTGTGCATATACCTGGTTCAATGTTATTACTCATCAGCATCTCTACCAGCTTACCCTCAAATTGAAATTATTTTAGTTTCATACCCTTTATATGTTGTAAACTTGTATCTTATTAACTTAAAACTTACTACAAAGAAATATATGCTTAACATGATCTAATATACTATATCTATTTTAACATATACAACTTATCTTAATACTAGATGACATGCTAACATATCTTTGGAATCCTCGGACATGCCTCTTGATAAGTGTGAACACAAGAACAATATCAGACATAGTGGTAATGTTAAATGTTCAACCACAACTGTAAAGGGCTATTGTATTATAGTGTATGTTATGACATGATCTGAGTTCTCTAAACTGAGCAAGGGACTTTCATGGCAATAGCAGTGTGTTATTCAGTATGTAAAACACAATACCTATTTTTGAACTAATGCCTTAGAAGGCCTGCCCAGACCCACATTTTAACCCTTTAAATGTGTGGTTTTTGAAACTCTAACCTGCAGTTATTACCACAGACCAACAAGCATAAACTCAAACTCATGGAGAGGAAATTTTAAAATAAATTCTCAATTCTCACTTCTCTATATTACATGTCACTTCTTTGTTCTGAACTCCTCATTTTAGATACTATTTCCACTCCTATTTGAGCTTCTGAGTTCTGACACAAATTGCACTCTTATAGTATACATACTGCTAAGACATAATCTATCCTTATAGCTTCCAATCTTCTTGCTTTAATAAAATATACATCAGAAAGTCAAACCCAAGTGCCATACCATCCTATTTTTCAAAACATGTCAATAATTCTCTGACATTTGTTACTCAATTATTTATAACCAAAAGAAAGATATTAATTTAGTGAATTCCTTATAAAGCTAGCTCATTCTAATGACAGGTGTTAAATTGTTCTGCCTTTTTTTTCATTCTTTACTGTCACTGAATTCCCTTGACTGGACAAAGGAACTATTTGAAACTACCTATAGCTTAATTAGAAAGCCAGTTAAATTATTATAGTTATAGGACATTGTATTTTTTGCATTATCAGTTTATGTTCTAAATTGAATATTTCAAATAAATAAAAATTCAGTGAACTACTAAAAATAACCATACCTAAAATTAAGGTTAACTTTTATTGAAACTTTGAGTGCAAAAAATCACAAACCCACACATAACTATTAAATTTGTTATTTTTTTATTTATATTTTTTATTTATTGTCATAAAGGTAGCTAAAATATGAAAGTTAGAAACTTAATACATTAGATAAGAAAACCAAAAGTAAAAAGTAAATTAAGTAAAAATATTTTTCAGCAAAATATGCACAGGAAATGCACATTACATAGCTGGTCAATATGCTGTTTTCCCATAACTTGAGATATATTCTCATCAGATGATTTCTAATCTTGATATGCAGGTTTAGTAGTTAGACAAGGTTCAAAGAGCAATAAAATATAAAATTAAATGAAAATAGATGTAAACTGTTATGATCCTGAGGTTGTTTGGGGTAATTTTATTTTACAATCTGCAATCCTTCTAGAAAGAAAAATGTGTAATTTAGATTTATTTCTTTGTATGTGTATGTATGTGTGTTTTGGTTACAAGTTCACTTAAATGGATTGAGGGTTCAAAAAAATAACAGATAAAATATAAAGTTTACTGAAAAAATTATTTATATTCAGTTAGGATGTTCTAGATATTATATAAATGAAATATGAAAACTAGAATGAAAATAAGTATTTTTATTTGTATCATGAAAATCACTTGGCACTCAGACATACCACAGTCTGAGTCAAACTGATCGAAGTAAATTCATAGACAAATCTTTAGAAGAAATATTTTGTTAAAAATTCTGATTTTTTGTGTACAATATATGTGTGTGATGTTTATTAAAAGCTTACCACATTTGTGAAGATACATTAAGTAAATTCAGAACTACACAAGTTAAATAGTAAACATTAATTCTCCAGAATGTGCTCAGTCCAATGGACCCCCCCCCCTCCCCCATTATAACAGCGTTGCTGAATCCAACATTATTGGAAACAAATAATAAAATGAAATATATTTAAGACATATTACATATTTTATTAACATACTTCACTTAAATTTTAGGAAATAAGAAATAATTCATGATACCAATAAATTTTGTTCAATACAAAAAATTCTTAACAAACAGGGGTGACAATTCATGGAGTTAAACTTCAGGAAATACTTTTTATATATGCTAAGAGAAACTACATTCTTCCAACGTACAGTGTACATCTAAAACAATAATCTAAAATGTACACTTGGAGGAATATAGTAATGAAAAAACAGCTTCAAACACACATTAATTTATGTACAAAAAACAAACAAAAAAACTTACCACCAACAGCTTTAATTAATGGATTAGATTAACAACATACAGTATAAAAATGAGGTATTAAAATCATATTTGATTTCATAAGTACATGTACTCATATTTACCATTAGCCATTAAAAACTTTGGTATAAGATCTACATTCCAGTCCCTAGATCGACCATATTCCTCCAGATGAGTAGCAGGCATATTGAATTTTGAAAAAAGTTCTTCTAATGGTGTAATTGATGCACTTTCACCTCCATAATACTTGTTCCTATCTATGTGCAAAACTTTCTTCCCACTTACAGACAGCATTCCACTTAAAATACATTCCTGTAAAATAATAATACTAATAGTTAATACCTTTTTTTTGTACATTTGATAAAGAATGAAAATTTCAATTATTTCCCTTTATCTTATTTTTGCATTCTAATATATGTGTACTTCAAAAGATTACACATTATAACTTATTATACATACATTCAGATACATAAACTGTATAATCCTTGGAATTCAATTCACTAATTAAGTATGAAGTGATTCAGCTATAATCCCATGAATGAAAAAATACCAAGTAAATATCAAAATATAATTTTGCTAGTCCTTATAAGCCACCTGCACCTGCCTCAAATGAAATAAGAAGTTCATAGACAGCAGTACATCCATAATTCTACCGATGCTTAGCTGCCACACAATCATGAATTATTATTACAAGAAAATGGGGACAAAAGTGGGATCTAATACGCCATGAATACGGAAATGGTGGAGTCCATACAGGCAGGTGCACAGCATCTAAGCCAGCACTCGGGACAAGTCCTCTGGGCGAGTCCAGTTTTATTGAAGAAAGTGAAGAACAGATTCTTCAGCTGACAGACTTCTTTAAGGGTATTTTTTCAGATTCTATTTATGTTTTATAAGATCATGAGACATTTTTCAAGATTAAAGATATTCATTTTTAAACTGTTATGAAGCTTTGCAAAGAGTTAGTTACAACTAGAATTGTTAATTTTCATAAATCTATTAACAGTGTGTAAATTCCAGATGATTGAAAAATGTCAATATGATACTATTTTTTAAAAAAGCAACAAATGGTCTAGGAAGGAATCAAGAAACAAGTGGCTTACATGTATTAGTATGAGTTTTGTTAATGTAACACAAGGATAACCATTTGGTCCTTCAAGGCTGTCCTTTCACATACACACATCCTTGAGAAAAGTAAAAATTCAAACACACACACATACACAATTTTTAGGAAATTCATAATTCTCTTCTTGAAATCTTGTCAAGTTCTAGCCTATAATACTGTCGATGACACCTCATTCCATAAGACAATTACTCTGTTATAAAAATAAAACTAACTTAATTGCAACACAGTCCGTCTTATTCTGAATCTTAAACTTGTGTCCTCTCATCCTATTGTTTTCAGAAAACAGCACAAAGAAATCAGATGCCTTTATCCCTTCAATCTTCCAGATAAAATTATAAACTTCAAGAAGTTAACCTGTTACCTCCTTTTATCAATGCAAAACAAGAGATTCTTAACCAATTAATCGTACCCATCCACAGAATTAAATGGTTCCATGTTCTTACATCTTGTTAAAATCATTAAGCTTGTGGAATGATATGCCTTATGATGTGGTGTTATTAACTTTGCTTCCCTTAAAATTTTCTTACAAGTATATGAATGTGAAGCCTATGGTTATACTTACATAGGCATTTGCAATTACATCTAAAAGTTGAGCCTATAGAAATGTAGTTGATGAATTAGAATAACTGATCTTGTGTCATTATAATAAAAGAATGAAATTAATACGTATAGAATCAAATTTATTGAAATCCATAATAAATTTTAATAACAACACATACATTATGGATAACAAAACAAAATTTGATCCTTCAAAACTGTCCCTGTACACCCAGCCTTGAGAAAAAGCAAAAAATGTAACTCATTATTTTTTAGGAAATTGCTGGCCCTTTTACACTCTTGCAAAGCTATGATGTCTACCACTGCCTACAATAACTTGCTTCATAAGCTAATCACCCTCATCAGTTGGCCTATTACAACTGCTAGTATATATATATATATATATAT